AGACATATGCACACCCATGTTCACTGTAGCATTAGTTACAATAGCAAAAAAACTGAAACAACCTAAGGCCCATCAATGGATGAATGGTTAAACAAATTGTGGTACGTACATACAGTGGAATACTACGCAACTATAAAGAATAATGATGAGTCCACAAAACATAACGTGGATGAATATGGAGGACATTACGCTGAGTGAAATAAGTCGATCACAAAAGGACAAATATTGTACGGTCCCACTCTTTTAAAAAGTCAAAAACAGGTATACACACAGAAAGCAACGCTCTTTGATGGTTACCAGGGATGGGAGGGGGAGGGAGGGTGACTCACTTGCTACACAGTAGACACCTGTTATTTCTGGTGATGGGAAAGGCAATACACAGTATAGGAGAAGTCCGCACAACTTGACCAAGGTAAATGAAGACACTGAGCGGCATGCAAGAATAAAGGACAATCATGATAAATGCTATAATATAGATACATAATTTTGCAACAACCAAAAAGTATGTGTGTGGTTATATAGGTAGATGTGTATAGTATTTGTGTATAGGACGGTATATGTAAGTACACGTACGTGCATATGTATTTGTAGGCATAAGCATCTATGTGTTTGGGTGTGCTGCATATATATTCATAAAGATAATAAAGCACACAGGGAGCACAGTTATGGAGCCCTCCTAAACATATCCAAACACCTCATAGGATTGGTTTACTGGGTTAAAGGGATTGGGACCACAGACTCAAGGGACAACTCAGTCAACTGGCACAACATAGTTCATGAAGATAATGTTCTTCATCTTAGTTCGGTGAGTAGTGTCTGGGGTCTTAAATGCTTGCGAGTGGCCATCTAAGATACAACAGGTCTCTTTTTGTCTGGGGCAAAAGAGAAAGAAAGAAACCAAAGACTTAGAGAAGAAACTAGTCCACAGGACTAACAGGCCACATGAACTACAGCCTCATGTAGCCTGAGACCAGAGCTAGAAGGTGCCTGGCTATCACTGCCGACCATTCTGACCAGGGACACAATAGAAGGTCCTGGAGAGAATGGGAGAAAAATGTAGAATAAAACTCAAATTCCTAAAAAAGACTAGATTTACTGGACTGATACAGACCAGAGGAACCCCCAAGACTATCATCCTAAGATAAACGTTGAATTTGGAACTGAAGCCATTCCCAGAGGCCATCTTTCAGCCAAATAACATTTTGGCTTACAAAATAAATAATATCACCTGTGAAGAATATGCTCCCTTAAATAATCAACTATACAAGACCAAACGGTCAATATTTACCCCAAAAGCAAAGATGAGAAGGCAAGGTGGGGTAGGAAAGCTAGATTAATGGAAACAGAACAAACAGAATGGAAATAATGAGAATGCTAACACATTGCAAAAATTGGAACCAATGTCACAGAACAATTTGTTAAAATTGTTAAATGGCAACCTAAACTTTCACCTAAAATACAATAAAATACTAAACACACACACACACACACACACACACACACACACACACCGAAATCCCACTCCTAGGAATATACCCGAGAGAAATAAGAGCCGTCACACGAATAGACATAGGCACACCCACCTTCATTGCAGCATTGTTCACAATAGCAAAAAGATGGAAACAACCTAAATGGCCATCAACAGACGAACGGATAAACAAATTATAGTACATATACACAATGGAATACTATGCAATGATAAAAAACAATGATGAATCCACGAAACATCCCACAACATGGATGAATCTGGAAGGCATTATGCTGAGTGAAATAAGTTAGTCACAAAAGGACAAATATGGTATGAGACCATATTATAAGAACTCAAGAAAAGGCTTAAACACAGAAAAAAGCATTCTTTATGGTTACAAGGATAGGGAAGGAGGAGGAGGGGAAATCACTAACTAGACAGCAGACAAGGATCAACTTTGGTGAAGGGAAGGACAACACACAACACAGGGGAAGTCAGCACAAAAATAAATAAATAAATAAATAGTCTGTCAAAAATGTGGTTCAAAAAAAACAACACCCCAGCTGCTCTAGCAGGGATCATGATAGAGGGTCCCAGACCCTCACATATACACAAAAAGATCAGGCTTGATGGTCTGACAGAGACCGGAGAAACCCCAAGAGTATGACCCCTGGACACCCTTTTAACTCAGTGCTAAAGTCACTCCTGTGGTTCACCCTTCAGCCAAAGATTAGACAGGTCTATAGGGCCAACAATAACACACGTGAAGGGTGTGCTTCATAGTTCAATCATATATATGGGACTAGTGGACACACCAGCCCAAAAGGAAAGACGAGAAGGCAGGAAGGGACAGGAAAACTGTACAAATGGAAACAGGGAACCTGGGGTGGAGAAGAGGAGAGTGATGACAAATTGCGGGGTTGGCAACCAATGTCACAAAACAATTTATGCATTAACTGTTTAAAGAGAAACTAATTAGCTATGTAAACTTTCATCTAAATCACAACGAAAAAAATTTTTAAAAAAGCAGATTGCTGGGTGCTACCAGTTAACAAGGACAAGGTGAGGCCTACGGACACCCAGGTGATGCAGCTACTGGTGGTCTAGAAACGACACTGAAAAATGCAACCAAAAACCATTAAGGAGTCGGAAATTCCAGTAGCTTAGCATTCAAATCAGCTCTCCTAGACTGTGTTTGGTACCCAGAAGCAACACAAGGTTTCCCCATGAGATCCCGCATCTGGAACCTCATAGCTCTAGGTTAGACGGCGGCGAGACCATGGGCAAGCTCCAGAACCAGACAGGCCTTGGATAGAATCTCAGCTCCACTGCCTTCTAGAGGTGATCGAGGTAAGGATCCTGAGGTGGGAGATTATCCTGGATTATCTGGGTGGGCCCAATGTAATCCTAAGTGTCCTTGTAAGGGGGAGGCAGAGGGAGATTTGACCCAGAAGAAGAAGACAATGTAACCACTGAAGCAAGATGCTACGCTGCTGGCTTTGAAGATGGAGGAGGAGACCAGGAGCCAAGCAATACAAGGAATGCAGGCAAGGAAACAGACTCTCCCCTAGAGACTCTGGAGGACTGCAGTCCTGCCAACACCTTGACTTTGACCCAGTGAATGGTTTTGTACTTCTGACCTCTAGAACTGTAAGAAGATAGAAGTGTGTTGTGTTGTTTTAAGCCACCAAGTGTGTGGTCATTTGTTACCGCAGCCAAAGGAAATAACACACCTTAGCTGAGCTCCTTCCACTCTGTGAGCCTCAGCCATCTGTGAAATGGGTCAATAGTACTTACCTTCCAGGACTGTTGTGGGGATGAGATAATACAACATTGTCCAAGTGCCCAGCTCAGTGCCTGGCACCTGGAGGCCTGCTGCAGGGGTTACCTGGTAGCAGGGCTCACAGAGGGGCCGCCCATCCTTCTGGTAGAAACTCTGCCCGGCCAGCTGGCGGCGGCAGGTACGGCACGTAAAGCACTGGGCGTGGTACTGTCTCTTCATGGCCTCCACGGCCAGCTCTCGGGGGGACACGGTCTTGTGGCAGAAGGCACAGATGTCTAGGGTGGAGGAGACACAGGTCGTCACCAGTCCTGCCTGAGAGAACTGTGCCTACTCACCACCAAGAACGTCCAGAGAGCCCAGGGCTCTGCCTTGAACCCCCAAGTTTGTGAGTGTGGCCTCCATTTCCTCATCTGACAAATGAGGAGAATCATGAGCAGCATTAAAAAGCAATGGGAAAAAAGACATAAACTGGACTTCATCAAAATTAAAAACTTTTCCCTGAGATAGTCTTTAAACCTTAAACCAAAAATATCCCCGGAAGTTTTTTTAAACACCAAACAATAGTTTAGCTTAACTAGTAAAGAATGTCTGCCTTGAGCATTACACTCTTTTAAGATCTGTCTATATGGGATCAAAGTGACAAGAGCAACTCGAAAGATTAGATAGGAACCTTAGGGGGCAGTGAGTTTATGTTAATGGGGGAGGAACAACTCAGAAAAGGAGGGTGAGAATGGTTGCAGCAATTTGAAGAATGTAATCAATGTCACTGAATTGTACATGGAGAAACTGTTGAATTGGTATATGTTTTGCTGTGTATATTCTCAATAAAAACAACAACAAAATAAACTAATTTATATAAAAAAATTTTCTACATCAAAGGATTTTATCAATAAAGTGAAGAGACAATCTACAGAGTGGGAGAAAATATTTGGGAACCATATGTGTGATAAGGGTTTAATATCTGGAATATATAAAGGGCTCCTACTACCCAACAACAAAAAGACAAACAACCCAATCAAAATGGGCAAAGGACTTATATTTCTCCAAAGAAGACACATAAATGGCCAACAAGCATATGAAAAGATATTCAGTGTCTTCAGTCATTAGGAAAATGCAAATCAAAACCACAATGAGAAACCACTTCACCCCACTAGGACAACTATTATTAGAAAAACTGGAAAACAAAATGTATTGGCAAGGATGGAAGAAATTGGAACCTCATCCATTGTTTGTGGGATTCTAAAATGGTGAAGCTGTTATGAAAACAGTTTGGCGGTTCCTCAAAAAGTTTAACAGAATTACCATGTTTTTTTAGGTGCCATAGAGTCAATTTTGACTCATAGTGACCCCATGTGACACAGCAGAACTGCTCCATAGGGTTTTCTAGACTGTAATCTTTATGGGAGCAGATCGCCAGGTCTTTCTCCTGTGGAGCCATATGACCCAGCAATTTCACTCCTAGGTATACACCCAAAAGACTTGAAAGCAGGGAACGGGTACACCAATTTTCACTGCAGCACTGTTCACAATCGCCAAAAGGTGGAACAACCCAAATGTCCATCAACAGATAAATGGATAAATAAAATGTGGTACATATACACAAGGGAATATTACTCAGCCATCAAGAGAGATGAAGTCCTGATACATGCTACATGACATGGATAAACCTTGAAAACATTATGCTGAGTGAAATAAGTCAGACGCAAAAGGACCAATACTGTGTGATCCCACTTAGATGATGTATCTAGAATAGGCAAATGCATATTAGTGGTTACCCACTGTCATGGATTGAATTGTGTCCCCCAAAAAATGTGTGTATCAGTTTGGCTAGGTCATGATTCCCAGTATTGTATGATTGTGTACCATTCTGTAATCTGATGTGATTTCCCTGTGTGTTGTAAACTCTATCACTATGATGTAATAAAATGGATTAGCGGCAGTTATATTGATGAGATCTACAAGATTAGATAGCGTCTTGGGCCAATCTCTTTAGAGATATAAAAGAGAGAAGCAAGTAGAAACACACGGGAACCTCACACCACCAAAAAAGCAGTGCTGGGAGCAAAGCGTGTCCTTTGGACCTGAGGTTCCTGTGCTGAGATGCTCCCAGAACAAGGGAAGACTGATGACAAGGACCGTCCTCCAGAGCCAACAGAGAGAGAAAGCCTTCTCCTGGAGCTGACGCCCTGAAATTTGGACTTGTAACCTACTAGACTGTGAGAGAATAAATTTCTCTTTGTTAAAATCATCCACGTGTGGTAATTCTGTTATAGCAGCACTAGATGACTAAGACACCCACTAATAATAATGCATATTAGGGGCAGGTGGAAGGGAGCAAAGGGGAGTTATTGCTTAAGGGGTATTGAGTTTCTGTTAAGCTCAATGTTGTGATGGTTGTATGACATGGTAAACATAATTAATGTCACTAAATTGTACACCTAAAAAGGTTGAAATGGCAAATCGTTTGTTTTAAATATGTATATATGCGTGTATGCATATATATATATATATATATATATAAAATCCCATATTTTCTACATGAACAATTCAATGACATTGGTTACATACTTCTTCACATTGTGTCACTATTCTCACTATCTCTACCTATATTGTTCCATCACCATTAATTTAGGCTCTCTCCCCCTTAAAGTTTTCATTTGTGCTTTAGATTAACTGTTGTTTGTTTAAACTCATATAGATAATTTTTTATAAGTGCACAATGCTCAAGGCAACGCCCATGGAAGCAGCAGTCAAGAAATCATTGCACTGCATTGGGCAAATCTGCTGCAAAAGATCTCTTTAAAGTGTTAAAAAGCAAAGATGTCACCTTGAGGACTAAGGTGCTCCTGACCCAAGCCATGGTATTTTCACTCGCCTCATACATATGTGAAAGCTGGACAATGAATAAGGAAGACCGAAGAAGAATTGATGCATTTGAATTATGGTGCTGGCAAAGAATACTGAATATACCACGGACTGCCAGAAGAATGAACAAATCTGTCTTGGAAGAAGTACAGCCAGAATGCTGATTAGAAGCAAGGATGGTGAGACTTCCTCTCACATACTTGGACATGTTATCAGGAGGGACCAGTCCCTGGAGAAGGACATCATGCTTGGTAAAGTAGAGGGTCAGTGAAAAAGAGGAGGACCCTGAATGAGATGGACTGACACAGTGGCTGCAACAAAGGGCTCAAACATAGCAATGACTGTGAGGATGGTGCAGAACCAGGCAGTGTTTTGTTCTGTTGTACACAGGGTCGCTATGAGTCAGAACCTACTCGATGGCACCTAACCTAATGCTCAAGGCAAACATTCTTCACTAATTGGGCTAAACTGTTGTTTAGTTTAACGATGGCTTCATGGGATAGTTTTGGTTTAAGGTTAAAAGACTATTTCCGGGCATTAGATTTGGGGGTTACCCCAGTCTCAAAAGATCCAGTAAGTCTGGTTTCTATGTTATATATATTTTTACCATAATAAAAAAAGAAAATAAAAAGACACAACCTAACTTTTCATCTATAGGAGACTGGCTAAAGACAATATGTACGTCCCTACCAAGGAATGCCATGCAGCTATGAAAAAGAAAAAAGCACTGCTTTGTGTGCAGATGTGGAATGAGCTTTCAGGTGTACTAAGGAAAGAAGCAAAGTGCAGCAGGGTACACGGAGTGTGCTACTGTGTGTAGAAAATGGGAGGGGCGCTGTTGAACTTGTATATGTTTTTCTGTGTATATTCTCAACCACAACAAAAATAAGATAAATTATAAAAAAATAAGTTACTTGCGAAAAAAAGAAACATGCAAAGTTAGAAAAAAAAACAAAACAGTTGCTCAAATAGGAAATAAACTCGTTTGTTTATTAAGAGATGGTAATAAGGAGTTAAATATCTAGTTGTGAAAACAAGATGAGCACGTAAGGCAAAATATAACTGATGAAATAAAAGATTTTAAAGCTGTCCACTCCTCCTTGAAAAAAAGAAAATGGGTGGAGGGGTACATATTTGTATTTGCTTATATATACATAAAATATCTCTGGAAAGATATTCAAAGCATTATTAATATAGGCTGTCTGTATGGAAGGAATCTGGGTAACAGAGGGAGGGGCAAAGGGAGACTTTTCTCTATGTGCCCTTTCATACTTTTCATTTTGTACATTAAAAAAAGTCCAAGGTACTTTTGCTAACATAGTGAAGTTTGCTGATGAATATTTAAATGGATTTTAAAGTTATAAAGGAAAGAAGTTAGGCAATACAAATAAAATTGATGTCCTTGTATAAGGCCTTTCACTGTCATGTGAGACGGGCAGACACTGCTGGTCTCACTCTCCTAGTTCCCACCTGGAGACCACCCCAGAGTCCTTCCAGCTCATACCTGTGGATGCCTCTCTCTCGGGGACACCAACAGTCTCTTCTGGGGGAGGCGGCAGCTTCTCTTCTGCAGGTTTGAAGTGACCCGGCTGAGACCGGAGTGGAAGCCCCTCTGCTGGAGCCTGAAAGACAAAGTGGGGAATCAGAAGAGGAATAATCCAGTGGGGACCCTACGGAGCCCTCTTAGCCACCCCCCTCCTCATCTAGGTGGCACCAGGCACAATTAGCCCCACTGTACAGAGGAGGAAACCGAGGCCCAGAGAAGCAAGTGACCTGTCCAAAGTCACTCAGCAGGAAGGTTACAGCGGCTTCCGCAACCAAACGAAGCTCCTTCCTTCTACTTCTAAGGAATTTTCCCTTGGGCCTTGGACTGAGGTAGACTCAGCCCTTGGCCTAGAACCTGTACCCTCTCTTCCTTCCTATTTCCACAATGGCCTCTATTAAGGGCAGACGATTAAAAATGGATTTCCTATACAGCATGAGGGATTTAGGTTAGACACTGGGAAATGTCTTCCTCAGAGCTGAAGCAAGTGGCTAAGGGAGAAGAGGGCATGGCACCCCTTCTCCATACCAAGAGGGACCCTGAAAACCTGACCAATTTTACCAGACTGGAAGAGCTTCGAAGAGGAACTGTCCTGAAGTAGGAGAATGACCTCCAGGCCTATAATCCTTGAAAGGTCCACAAGGCCCAGACTCTTCCTCCCCCAACCCACAGCACTCCGTCAGGGACCAAGGGGTTGGCAGTACCTGTGGTAGCGGCGGGGGTGGTGGCAGGTGCAGCTGCTCTAGGTCCGTGACGAGTGATGCCCCTACCGGGCCAACGGGCTCCTCATCTGGAGGAGGCAGGTATGCTGGTGGGGGTGGTGGAGGAGGTGGGAGGAGGTCCAGGTCAGGAAGTGGGTCCTCACCATCCAGGGTAGGAGGAGGGAGAGAACACCCTACAACCAGAGGGGAGGGAAGGTTGGCCAAAGCCTCTGCAGGTGGTCAGAGGAAGTGTCCATGTATGCAGAAGGCTGTGTGGCATGGTGGCTAACGGGTCAGGTTCGGGGTCACCCAGATGTGGGTTCCATTTACTTGCTGTGTGTCCTTAGGCAAGACTTAGTTTCTCTAAATCTCTATTTGCTCAGTTGGAAAATGGGCAGCAATGGCCTAGGGTGGTTGTGAGGGTTAAATGAGATGAGCCAGGCAAAGGGATTGGCACAGCGAGTGGCACATGGTAAGGACTCAGGAAATGGTAGTTGTCAAAGTCCTCCAGAGTGGTCCTCCTCTACCAGGGGGCTAGAGTGCCTGAATCCCCCATTAGAGAGCCCTTGTTAAAATACATGCATAACGAAGCCCCAAGGCCATGGTTCTCAAAGTGTGCTTCTGGACCAGCAGCATCAGCATCACCGGGAGTGCACCACCTGGGAGCTTATAAGAAATGCAGCCCCCGGCCTACAGAATCAGACACTCTGGGGGCAGGGCCCAGCCATCTGGATCTACAAAGCCCTCCAGGTGATGCTGATGCTACTCAAGTTTAGGAACCACCATTTAAAGAAGATAATAGATTAAGGTCAGGATCATTGGGTGTTGAGAGCATTAGGTGAAAGGCTGATGGGGAACCTTTCAAAGGAGGAGTCAGGCTGTCACCACCTGAACCCACCGATCAACCTTAGCAGACACCAGGGGTCTCCTTATGTCAGGAAGCTATGGACATCCCCTGTGAATGTTCTTATTGAAAAAAAAAAAAGAACTTCAATCTAATCAGGTCTGTAGAGCTAACTTCCATTTATAATAAATATGGAAGACAGAGAGGAAAGTTCAATGAGACCACAAGGAAGCAAAGAGACAAATCTAGGATCTGGGACATTCTGCAGGACCTGACCTTGCTTATGCAACAAGTCAATGGCATGGGGAGAGGAGAGAAGGGAAGGGGTTCCCTGGAATTAAGAGATTGTGGAGAAAAATAGCCACATATAATGCATATATCTGTGCTGTCCAATATGGCGGCCACCACCCACATGTGGCTACTGAGCATTTGTAATGTGGCTAGTCCACACTGAGACATGCTATAAGACTCACTACAAAAAAAAGAATGTAAAATATCTCCTTAATAATTTTTATATTGATTACATGCTGAAATGATAGTATTTTTGAGAAATTGATGGTTGCATAAAATACATTATTAAGATTATTGTCAGTTGTTTTTCACTTTTTCTCAATGTGGATACTAGAAAATTTTAAATTATATATGTGGCTTTATATGCAATATCCAGAATACATAAATCCATAGAGACAGAAGGTAGATTAGTGGTTGCTCTCAGATTAGGGGCTAGAGGAGGGGGGAGTGGGGAATGACTATGTAATAGGTATAGGGCTTTCTTTTTGGGGTGATGAAAATGTTTTCAAAACTTGATAGAGGTGATGGTTGCATTGTGAATATACTAAATATCACTTAATTACACACTTTAAAAAGGTTGATTTTATGTTATGTGAATTTCACCTCAATTTTTACCTATGTGGCTTGCATTATAGTTCTACTGGAAGTGCTGGCACAGACCTTATTTGGATTCTGATCCAAAGGATTACTCATCATCTCATTTAATTCTCTTCATTTTGTAAATGAAGAAATCAAGGTTCAGGAAAGCTATATATTCCACTGAATTTTATGGTCCAAAGGGAAGATATTCCTCTACAATCCAACAGTTAAGAGGCATTTTAAAAGCAATCAGAGTAAATTAATTATGGACAGGGTAACAGGTGATCACAAAGCATTCTTGTTTTTTTAGGTGTGATCCTGGAATTGTGGCCATATTTAGGGATTCACTCTGAAGAACATGGGGCTGAATGACATGTTGACTCAGGTTTGCTTTAAAATACTTCAGAAAAAAAGGGGTGGGGAGAGGTACAGGGCTTAGATGAAGCAAATGCGGCAAAATCTTGATACCACTGAAACTGGATGTGGGGTGTACCGGGTTCTTATACTGTGGCCCTCAACGCTAACTGCCAGTTGGTGCTCCTGACAGAGGGAGGAGGTGGGGTTGGGGTATCACCAGCTCCTGCCTCAACTCCAGGGAGCAATCACCCCAGGGAGCTCTCACCCAACAAGGGGCTGCCCCACTCCCCCAGAGGAGGTGGACTGGACTGAGAGGACAGGAGAAAAGCCTTAGTGAGGGGCAGTGAACACTGCCTGTGAAAAACTGCCGGGTACAGGGTGAGTGCTATTAACAGCCCCAGGAAGAAGGGACACAGGAAGTACTCTGCCACCTCCTGTAACTGGGGAGCAAGCTGGCACCAGGCTTCAGCGAGGGCAGACTGCCCTAGACACCCACGGCAAGTGGACGTGCCTGAGGCCCCAGAACCTAAAGACCTGGGCTCTAGCCCCCAAAAACAAACCAGTTGCCGTAGAGTCGATTCCAGCTCATAGCGACCCCGTGTGTGTCAGAGTAGAACTGTGCTCCACAGGGCTTTCTTTTTTTTTGTTTATTGTTGTAGTTTTCTTTCCTTTTTTTAAAAAAATGTGATTTAAATGAAAGTTTACACAGTGAATTAGTTTCTCATTAAACAGTTAATATATAAATTGTTTTATGACACTGGTTGCCAACCCCGCAATGTGTCATCACTCTCCTCTTTTCCAGCCCAGTTCCCCTATTTCCATTTGTACAGTTTTCCTGTCCCTTCCTGCCTTCTCATGTTTGCTTTTGGACTGGTGTGCCCATTAGTCTCATATATGTGATTGAACTATGAAACACAAAGACACAAAGGAAAGATTAGTCCAAAGGACTAATGGACCACAACTACTAAAACCTCCACAAGACTGAGCCCAGAACAACAACATGGTGCCCAGGTACCACCATCAGCTGCTCTTTTCTTTTTTATAATTTGCTTTTTTTTTTGTTGAGAACATACACAGCAGAACATATACCAATTCAACAATTTCTACATGTACAGTTCAGTGACACTGATTACATTCTTCAAATTGTGCAAGCATTCTCACCCTCCTTTTCTGAATTTTTCCTCCCCCATTAACATAAACTCACTGTCCCCTAAGGTTCCTATCTACTCTTTTGAGTTGCTATTGTCAATTCGATCCCATACAACAATCCATTGCTGTTGAATAGATTCCAACTCATAGCAACCCTATAGGACAGAGTAGAACTGCCCCATAGGTCTTCCAAAGAGTGGCTGGTGGATTCAAATTGCCGACCTTTTGGTTAGCAGCCAAGCTCTTCACCACTGCACCACCAGGGCTCCTGATCCCATATAGACAGGTCTTAAAAGAGCACAATGCTCAAGGCAGACATTCTGTACTCGTTAAACTAAACTATTGCTTGGTTTTGAAGACCATAGGGTTTTCAAATGGCTGCTTTTTCAGAAGTAGATCACCAGGCCTTTCTTCCAAGGCACCTCTGGGTGGACTTGAACCACTAACCTTTCAGTTAGCAGCCGAGAGCTTAACCATCTGTATTGCCAAGAGACTGGGCTCTACCCCATTGCCCACTAACTCATTGGGTGAGCACTCTGGGCTTCAGGTTCCCCATCTATTCGATAAAGATAATGCCCTCCCTCCTTTCTCCAAGGGCTGAAGGGACTGCACAGATGGAGAGGGGTGCTTGTTTAAATACATTCAGCTGGGCTCCACTCCCAGAGGTTCTGGTGTAGCAGATCTGGGGTGGGGCCCGAGAATCTGCATTTCTTACTGGCTTCCAGGTAATGCTGATGCTGCTGGTTCAGGGGCTACACTTTGAGGACTATTGCTCTGTTCTAAAGGCTTCTCACAGGTGAAACACTAGTCGCGGGCCTCACCCTAAATCTGCTGAATCAGAAATTCTGGGGGTGGGGCCCAGCAACCAGTGTTAGAACAAGCCCAGGGTGATGCTGATGTCGCTAAATGGAGGAGCTACTCTGAGTCAGGAACCAGATTTCAGAGGGAGGCAGCAGGAGTGCTGACCTCTCCCAGCCCCGCTTAAAGATTTTAGGACAAGTGGCAGGAATGCAAGACAGAGAAGCAAGTAAGAGCCGGGGTGGGGGTGGCCAGGCAGATGGGACTTGAGGGCAGGGACGGGCTCACAGAAAGGGAAAGCTGAGAGAAGGACGTGGCTCAGGGAGCCAAGAGCAGAAAGAGGAGGAGAGCAGCTTTTTAAAGAGAGGCTGAGGGAAACACTGACTTATGAATGAGAAATAGATGGTGTGTGGGCAAGTGTGTGTATGTGTGAGTGTGCGTGTGTTATCTAGTAGGGGAGAAGGAAAAGAAAGATGAGGACTTATCCAGGATGAAAGGGCTAAAGCAACACTGGTGGATTCCTGTGAGGACAAGCGCTAGATGAGGCGTCAGATGACAGCCTGCCGTGAAGGTGGCCAGCCTTTGTGTTCTGTGGTCAGACCAGCTTCAGGGCCAAGCTGCACACTCAGAACTTATCTCACTCGAGGGGCTGAACCCCAAGATGCCGCACCATCTGCTTAAGTCCGCCGCATCGGCAGACAAAATGGCTGACTGTGACTCAGACCAGTGACTCTTTGGTGGCCCTCTCCTGAGGAAGGCCTGGTTTCTGTTACCACACTCCCGGGATCTCATGCCTACCATCCTGATAGCCCATGACAATGTCCGGGAAATTTTGGCATTTTGGCATCTAAACTGTATTTGCTGCGTTCCTTCTCCCACCCGGAAATGACATGATTTTTTATCTGGTCACATGTCCTGTTGTGTGATTTTTGGGAAACACGGTTGTGGTTGTGGTTCTCCTATACAGAGAGCAGCTGGGAGAAGGCTGTGTTCCTGGGACGTGTGGTTAGGAAGGGAAGGTGAATTTAGCAGGTTCCCTTATATGAAGCAGCATGTTACACGCATATCCATGCACACTTTCATACATGTACAAGCAGGGCCCCTTTTTGGCCTCCATGGTGATGGATGGATAGGGCTGCTCTAGCCTCTTCTGGGACACAGGACGCCTGGCCAGGCACCTGGGGGATTCGGAGGACTCAGCTGCCATCCTCGGCTGGCCTCTGACCCTTGGTGTCCCAGGGCTTCATTGTCCCAGCTGGTGCCCAGCCAGACAATGAGCCATCCCCACTGTCCCAGGCCCTTGGGCTGTCACCCTTAGTTGATTCCACCTGACTGACAGCTGAGACTTTCCATGGGAGTGGCAAGGAATGATGACTGGAAGGGTCTCCGTTACCGTGAGAACAGGGCCAGTTTATGAATCCTCTGTTTTGTGGTAGATGTGTCACATACACGACTGAATGCCCATTTTACAGAAGAAGAAACCGAGGCCCAGATGGGGGGAATGGCTTGCCTCAAGAGCCCAAGAGAGAAGAAAACCATGTTCAGCTCCTTCAACTCACCAAGCTTGTTCCTGCCTCAGGGCCTTTGCATTTGCTGCTTCCTCTGCTCTACGAGCTCCACCTCCCCCAAGCCGGCTCTGTGCTGTCATTCACATCTCAACTGAAGTGTCACCTCCTGAGAGTGGCCATCCCAACCACCCCATAAAGTCACACCTCGGCACCTCTTCACCATGTTTTATTCCTTTATAATGCTTGTGTCTACCTGACATCATGTGATATATTTTTATTATCTCTTATGTGAGTTAAAACTTTGTCTCTTCCCCTCCCCAGTGTCTGGTCCAGAATAATAGCAAGAAACACACTCAGCGTTTTCTACATGACAGGCACTAGGCTAAGTGCTTTACATATATATTAACTTATTTCATCCTCACAATAACCTCTGAGGTGGTTGTTGTTGGCTGCCTGATGTCAAGTCAATTCCAACTCATGGCAACCATATGTGTGCATAGTAGAACTGTGCTCCATCGGGTTTTCAATGGCTGATTTTTCGGAAGTAGATCACCAGGTCTTTCTCCCAAGGCATCTCTAGGTGGGTTCAAACTGCCAACCTTTCAACTAGTAGTTCAGCACTTAAACATTTGTGCCACCCAGGGACTCAGTGGCACAGAAAGGTTAAGTGGCCTGTTAACATCACATAGCCAAGAGGTGGAGGACTCAGGATTCAACCCAGGCAGTTGGGTGCCAGGGTCTGCCTGGCACACAGAAGATGCTTGATAAATATTTGCTGCATGAATGAATGAGTGACTTCAGAGCCTTCTCTCTCCTGACCTCCCACATGGTCCCCCACCCTCTTACCTCCATTGGAGAGCTGAGGTGATACAGCTGGCACCAATGCCACAGTCCTGCCAAGGGGTCTCCAGGGGCTGGGCCTCCCTGCCGAGCCGGCCCCGGGTACCTTCATGGGGGCAGAGGACTCCCTGGGGCAGCCAGGCCGGGCCTCACAAGCCACCCGCCTCACTTCCTCGGCCACAGCCACATCTCGGCGAGGGGGTGCCAGGGTGATAAAGACAGATGAGGCAACCCTCTTCTCGGATTTTGAAGCCATTGCCTTGGCTCCTGGAGGGGCTGGGGCAGAGCAAGACTCACACTCAGACTCGAGCAGGACACAGGTCACGGGGGTGTACTCCATCTGGACACGCAGACCACCCCCCGCTGCCCTGGGGCATGGAGTCTCTGTCTGTCCTCCCAGCAAGACAGCAGCATCCACCCCACCATGCCAGCATCCCAGCCCAGTCAAAGAAGAGGAGAGGAGGTGCTCACCAGGTGATCTGGTCACAGAGATGGGGCCCAAAAGTCCTGTAGGTGCCTCTCCCCAGACTGCACACCTGGGGAAGGAAAGGGCAGCCCTGCCCTGCTCACTTTGCTGATGATTAACCGTCTTCTTCTAGAAGCCTAAGGAAGGAACAGTTCCTCTAGTTCCCCCACCCCTGCACAGCTGGCTATCACACCCAGTCCAGGGCGGTGCCCTGAGTTACTTTCCTCACCTGGGATCCAGAGTCTCCAGGGAGAGCCAAAGTCCTCACGGTCCAGGGCAGCTCCACTGTGGGAGGGAAACAGAGCATGGACGGCAGTGCATCAGGGCTGGGTGCCAGGAGGCCAAGGGGGCAGAATTACAAGAGCTACTGTTGACCACACCTACTCAGTGCCAACACTGGCCTCAGCACTTTCTACTCATAAACCCTCACCACCTTGCTGGGGAGCACTAATATCATCCCCATCATACAGACAAGGAGATTGAGACTCAGAGAGGGGAAGTCACTTGTCCAGGGTTACACAGTGACGGAGCTGGGATTTGAATCCAGATTGTCTGACTCCAGAGCCCATGCCCTTGGCCACCCTGCTCAGTTACTGTCCCGTAGTCCAGCCCACAAGCCAACACCAGGGGCTCATCCTTGTCTCAGCCCTCAACCCTATATCCAATCAAGTCTGGATGATTCTATTGTCTGAACTTCTCGCTCCGCCCCATCTTCCACACCAGGGCCCTGGTTCAGGCACAGTGGCCCCCCTGGATGGTCTTGAATCCCACCTCCTTACTTGCCTCTGGTGTGAGCATAAATCTGTTTTGCCTCTACTCAAAAGCCTTCCATGGCTTCCTACTACCTTCAGAATAAAGTCCAAATTCCTCTGGCCTCAGCCTCTTTTTGACCACCCTAGACCACTCTCTCTTCCTTGATGGGGTCTTTCTGCCTTACTTACCTTTGAGTGTTTCCGCCACCTGTTTTTCCTTTCCCACTCCCTCAGGGTGAATTTTCGGCTTATCCTTAGAAGCTGGAGGAGCTTCACCTCATCCATGAAGCCTCCCCTGATTCCTGACCTCCCTGGGGCAGTTGTCTGCTTCCACAGGGTGATGACAGCCTTGTCACAGGACACGTTGGCTCACTCTCCACATGTCTGCCCCCTCCCCCAGACAGTGTGTGCCTTCAGCTGCAGAGTCCAGCTCACAGTGCACGCATCAAATCATAGATGTGGGAGGCAGGGTGGCACCCCGGCAGGCGGGCGTCAGCCCATTTGCCATCTCTCAAGTGGTTTCTATAGACAGTAGCCTGGGGCGACAGCTGAGGCAGGCGAGTCAGTCACACCAGCTCAGGAGCCTCGCCAGGCACCGGGGACTTGTGCCCTGGGATAAAACTGTGCTTTTTCTTCCTCCCCCTTTTCGACTGGCCCCAAAGGACCCTAATGGTGGACTTGGAGTCCGAGTGACCAGTCATAGGCCTCTCTCAAAATCCACTGGCCCTCGTGGGCTCTCTTTGGTGATTAGGGGATTATAATAACAAAAACAGTGGCACTCACTGATAGAGTGCTTGCTGTGTGCCAGGCACCGTGCCGAGTGCTTTACATGCCCCCCAAGTCACTTAAGTCCCAACACAGCTATTTTACAGATGAGCAATGTGAGCCCCAAGAGGTTAAGTCACTGGTCCTCGGCCATCGATGGCAGACCCCGAATTCTAATGAAGCACCATCCTACCGGAAAGTTCAGGGAATGACCACAGAGACACACTACCTCTTCCTTAGACACGCTTCTTCTTCCCTGGATGGCACTGGGGCCCCCAAATTCTCAGCCTGTTCTCACCCCCAAATGATCCAAACCAGAGCGAAAATCCTGTGGTCGGCACATTCTGGGCTGTCCCCAGAGACTGCTGTGGACCTTTAGGATGCCCTTCCGAGTCCTTCCCACCCTGCTCTGAGCCCTACCCCCACCCCCAGCCCACCCGCTCCGGGAAGTTGGGTTGCCTGCTTTCTTGGAAGTCTCCAGGGGTGAACATCCCAGTGCTGGAGCCAGATGTGCACAGCTGGGCAGCCCCCTGCCCTCTCCCTCCCAGCGGTTACTGCTGGGGTGCCAGGCCCCAAGGGAAGGGCCTGACTGGGTGGGGCTTTTTAAAGCCCTGTCAGGCCCCAGGAGGGGATGGGAGGCCCAGCTTCCCTTTGGGCCACTGCCCCCTGATCACCCGGGAGGGGGTAAGTGTGAGAAAGTTCCCTGTAGAGCAGCCTCTCAGCCAGCAGGGCCCAGACGATCCTCCATTCCCACCCTTCCTCTCCCAGAGGGTGAATCTAAAATCCAGTAGGGTAAGCAAAGAAAGTGGGAACAAAGGGAAGGAAAGTCATTTCCTGTTAAGAGGAAGGAAGGAGGCTGCGATCCAGCTAGCCACCCAGCCTGGCTTCAGGCTGCACCCCAGCGGTGGAGGATGACAGACTGGCTGGCAGGGGGACTCTCCAGGCAGAGCCCCCTCCCTCTACTGTCCACCTTCCTCCCCGCCCCCCACCAAAATCCAACTCGGAACCATCTCTAAGCTTTGTTCTTGAACACCCTCACAAAATAGCCTGTGTTTGGGTAGCGAATTCAGCTTTGCTGGGGGTGGGAGTGGGACTGTGCCTCCCCCAACCCCGCGGGGACCCTATAGCCCTGAACAGAGGTTCCTGCTCCCTCTCTCCCACCCCAGGGAAGCAGAGGAGCGCACAGAGCTGGGCTTATACTGTGCCCACCTCTTTCTTGCTGGGTGACCCCAAGCAGGTCACTCACCCTCTCTGATCCTCGTTTTTTTCATAAAATGAAAATAATGGGGTCTGTCCTGCAGAATGGTTGAGAGGATAAAAGGAGTGAGTGCTCAAAATCTTGGTGCTTGGTAGGGCAGCTGGTTATTCAGAGCTCAAGGACCTGGGGTGGGGGAGGTCTGGGCTCTGTTGGAGGTCCCGGAGGACTGGGATCTGGCTTCCACCATTATTAAGAGCAGGAAGGTAGCCACTACCCCAGCCTCTTCCCTGGGTCCTCACATCTGGGCTAGAGGACGACCGACGCCGAGATCACCCCAGGGGCACACACCTTGGGGGCTGCCCAGTCCCTCGGCTCTCTGGGCCCCTCCTCCCCCTCGCCTGACCCCAGCTGGAAGAGGGGCCGGGAGTCCCTGGAGCTCCAGAAAGCCCGGCGGCCTCCCGCAGGAGGCGAGGCAGGGCAGCTGGCCGGGTAGCTGTGGGGCGCCGGCCGGGGACTTTAATTCGATCCATGTGCCGTACGCTGCCTCTTTGTGCGGAAGCTTCCGCCCTGCGCGCCCCGCTCCTGGCGCCCGCTCTCGGGCAGGGACCCGACCCTCCTCCCCGTGAGCCCTCCCCCAGACCTTCGCCCCCTCCCCCACTCCGGGGACAGAGACCGAAGGACAGAAACGGAAAACCCCCTCCAGGAGCGCCGGGGCTGGAGTCCCGGCTGGACGGGGAGGCGGGAGTGGGCTCCGGCCAAGGGCTGCCCGCGCTGTCACCTGTGCGTAGCGGGACAGGGACGGGGACCGAGGACGGATTCCCCCCCACCCGCTTACCTGGGCTGCCGCGCCCGGGGCTCTCCTCCGACGCCCCAGCCGGCAAGACCAGTCGTAGCACTCCCGCCCCGCCGCCTCCCCGCCCCTCGCTCCCTCCGCCCCCCGCCCCGCGCCGCCGCCTTACCATAAAAGGTGAAGCTACGGGGAGGGGGTCTGGGATCCCCGCCGGGCGGAAGCGGCCCCCACCTGCCCGGCCGCGTCCGCGCCGCCCCCTCCCTTTCCCTTTGTTCCCTCCACCACTCCTTCCTTCCCCCTCGGCCCAGGCCTGGGGGGCAGGAGACCTCTCCCGTGGCCAAACTCCCAAGTCCTTTGTGCGCCCTGAGAGGTCATTACTCCACTCCCCCCACCCCCCAGGTCACCTGGATCGCGGCCCCACCTGTTCTGTCAGATGGAGGGGCGTGCTTATATCTCCGGTTTGGCCTGGAGTTTCCCAGGGTCACTAGAGTCAGGAGGACCTGGGTTCTATGGCATCTCACTAACGGTGTGACCCTGGCAGTCATTCCACCTCCCTGAGCCTCAGTTTCCTCATCTGTAAAATGGAGATTACACAGCCTACCTCTCCAGGTAGGCCTGAGGACAAAAGGTGATAGACATCGAGGAGCAATACATGTTGGGCTTGGAGCTTTTTCAGGGGTGTTCCTGGGGTGGGGTGGGGGTCTCTGAGATCCCCAGCGGAGCAAGTCACCTAGCTTTGCTGTCCTGTTCCCCTTAAGCCTTTTACGTGTGGGTCCCAGTGGCCTGGAGGACAGACCTCTCCAGGAGGGACGCCTCAGCCAGTGCCCCAGGCCTGGGAGACAGGGCTCAGCTGACAATCAGGTCACCTGGTTTGCCACCGCTGGCCCAGTCGCTGACGTCCTCCCTCCCGCCCCCTGAATTTGTCCCCCTCCAGGCTGGAATAGATAAGACATGGAGAGGGGAGGGGCCAGGAATGGAGCTGGGATGGGCCGCCTGGATCCCCAGAGGCCTCAGGAACATTGCTGGGAAAAGGAATCTGGGTCTGATTCAGAGGCAAACAGATTGTTCCTTTGATTAAAGCCACAGTGGTTGAAGCCATCTGGGGAGAGGCCAGGCAGGGCTGGCTCTCATGCGGGCCCTGCAGGGACAGTCACCACTGGCAAGATGGCTCTGGGGCTGCTCTGAGGGACTCCCACTCATGCGGGCTAAGACAGGGGGTACCCTGACACCCTATCCCACCGCCTCCTCCTCCTACCTCCCTAGATCCCTCATCTACTGGTTGTGG